GATGACTTGTCACAGCGACAATTATTTTGTGCACAGATTTGGAAGTATGTGGCTGCCAATTGTGTAATTAAAAAAAAAAAAATTCAAATTCATAAGTTTATGGTATTATATCTTTATGTCATTCCAAATTTTGATCATCCAAGAAGGAAAAAAAACAAAAACTTTGAAGCAAATTTTGCATTCATGACAAGATAAGATCACGGGACCGACATCAGTTGTGTTCGTGAACTTCCAATTTTGTGTTAATTAATTTTTGAAATTTAAAAATGTATACTAAATCTATGAATATTTAATTTTATGTAATAGATTTCTATCAATTTTACAAAATTCATGAATTAAAATAATTTAAAATCTACTGTAATTTAACATTTTTCTATTTACTATCCGTTACATCTACATTATTTTTGTCTAAATGATGAGGTGGCAATCAATAACATAAAAGAAGTATTTAATAAGAAAAATTGTTAGTGTGAATGAAGAGACTGAGAATAGGTAAGAGGAGAGTAGTTGGAAAATTTTCCATCGTAACATAAAGAAATAGACTCATTGGACTTATTCTATGGGCTTAGGTTTTGTGGACCTAACATCTAATAATTGGGCCCATAGGCCTTTGGGCCCAAAAGTATGGTTGGTTTAATCAAAATTTATTGGGTTAAGAATTTTGATGGGACATTTAGATTCAACTATTGTATAGTTTTAATTTTATTTTTTTAGATAATTTTTTAAGACCTCTTTTAAACCCTAAAATGTTCCACACTTTCAAACTTGTAGAGTTAAAGGCTTCAATAAATAATAAATTGGAAATTTGAACACATTTACATTTATGCTAACCTTTAATTCCTCTGACTTCTAACCATTTTTTGTCTCGTTTATAAATATTTGGCATCCTTTAAGAAAATTTCATGTTTTTTACCTTCCAACAATGTTATTTTACCTATATTGATATTAGAATAATGTAACATTACAAATGTGGAGGTGAAGATTCGAACATTTCAATTGCATAAATAAATTACGAAAAACAATCTAATTATGGAGACCAAATGTGTATTTTATCGAGTAC